ACACCTCTCCAAATGTGGTATTACAGGGAGCAGCAGCAGGACTGTTAAGTCCTGAAGCAGCCAAGTGTGACAGTCTCCATTTGTCACTGTCCCCAGCTGAACAGCTCTCTGCCAGTGGATTCTGCAGAGCCTCTCATCATTAGAGCTGTTTCCTTGCACACAGATGGCTGCAGTGTGACATCCCCAGTGCCTGTGGGACCAGCACAGCCAGAGGGGCTTGCTCAGCCTGCAGGGGCTGTGTCTGCCTCCAGCCTGGTGCTGTGAGTGAACAAATGCAGCCTCACGCCCTGCAGGATGGATGTGCTGACACCAGGCACCTCTGCTGAGGTCTGGGGGGAGGCAATGCCCTGTCTGAGCCCCAGCAGGAAGCTGTGCTGCAGAGGGACCCTTGCAGCAGGGTCAGTGCACAGCAGCACTGCTGCCTCTGCTCCCCTGCACACAGCTGTGCTTGGCAGTGTGTCAGGAGAGCAGCTGGATGCTGCCCAGCCAGAGGAGCCAGCCCTGCAGTGCTGGCAGCTCCCAGGAGCTGGGCAGGGCAGACTGCTGGCACTGGGGAGCAGGGCTGCTCCCAGGCTGTGCATGTGAGACACTTCTGGACTGTGAGCAGCACCTGCCTCTCAGGAGCTGCTCAAACAGGAGCCAGGTGTGCTCAAGGACATTTTGGGCAGGATCTAGAGACTCAGTTTGTCTGGAACTTGCTGCTGAGCACTCATCAAGTCAGAGGCTCTGACACAAGCCAGGAAGCTGTGACCTGGGTGCTGGTGGCTGTGGGTTGTGGGTTGGTTCTGACTCTCACCCTGCTTTTGGAGCTGTTTGAGCCATCTGAGGATGCCTGTGAGGGGCACTCCTGAAAGCACTCAGGAAATCCTTTCTATATTAAGCCACTAAGGCTCTCATTTTACTTTATGTAATAACTCTTCCTTTAAAAAACATGTGAATTTTTTTTTTTGTTGCTGTTAGAGGGAAGAGACCTGCCTGGCCTTGAGTTAATACTTTTTCCTTCTCAAATCCATTTTTTTCCATAGGCTGTCACCAAAACACATTGTGTTTATGATTTTAAAAGAGGAGAGGTTGGCCTTGCTGCCTGGGGCAGCCTGGGCAGCAGGATCACAGGGAGCAGGGTGGCTGCCAGCAGCAGATGCTCTGCCCCAGGTGTGTGCAACAGAAGGTGCTGCACGATGGAGCTTTGCTGAAGTAAAACCCTTTCTCTAGCTGCCCTCCTCCTGTTTCTCTCCCCTCCCTACAGGAACAGACTGGGAGGTTGTGTAGCTCACCCTGGGCAGTGAACCTCAAGGTTTACAGAAAACCTGCTCCTTGCTTCTTTACATTTCTGGCCCTCACTGGAAGTGAAGTGAAATGCCAGCTTTGGTGTTTCTGGGAGTTCACCAGCACTTTACAGCACCTCCTCTCCTGCACCTGCAGCACAGGACCCCAGCAGTGGCTGTTTGGAGGTTTTATGAAGCAGGTCACAGACAGGAGGCTCCTCCCAAACACCTGCATGGCACTGGGGTTGTTGTGCCTGTGACAGGTACCATAAAGCAGAGCTGGCTGGGTGCTGCCCTGCAGTGCTGTACCCCTGGTGTGCAGCCTGTGCTCCTGTCCTGGGGCCCTGGACACCATCTCCAGCACACAGGCCTTGGGCAAGGGTTTCGTGCAGATCTTTTGTGTCCACCATAGATGGGACAGCAGTGCAACATCTCCTTCCTGCCAGCACCATCCTAAAGGTCCATGGCCTGCAGCAGAAAGGGTGAGAAACAGAAGCCTGTGCTTTTCATTGGAGACACCACTTTACAGCTCAGGAGCAGCTGGGACCATGTGTCCTCCTCAGTTCCTCCTCCTAATCAAAAACCCAGGCAGAGTGAGGAACATGAGAAACTGCCTTGCAGCAGCAGTGAGTTGGAAGAGGCTGTGAGCTGTGGCAGAGCCAGAAATCCAGCCTGGATAGAAACTGAGTGTTTGAGTAACTGGGAGCAAGACTTGGAGCAGCTGGCTCACTTCTCCCTCCTGAGTGCTGGTGAATGCTGAGTCAGCGTGTGCTGGGAGCTGGGGTGTGCCTGAGCTGTGCCTTGGGACAGCAGAACACAGCTTTCCTGGAACCTTTCTGATCCTTTCAGTTTATTTGCAGAGCAAAGCTCCCCATTACCTTCTCTTAAGCTTTCATGACTGGCTGCTGCACCAGTGCCATCCTCTTCCTCCCCTTGTAAGCAACTCTGGAGAGCAGAAGAGCATGGTATGCAATGGGGACACCCTCACCCTGCTGTGCCCTTTGGGCTGTGGCACCTTCAGGCAGGGGTTGAGCAAGGAACCTCTTCTGGCACATGACCCCACAGCTGTTGTCTGGGAGCCTGTGACCCCACAAAACCTCCAGCCTGCAGATGTTCCCCAAGGTGAGCACTGCTGCTCTTCCTGACCACGTGGGGCTGCAAACTGGAATGGATCTCTGCTAAAGGCTTTATTTAGCTAAAATAGAGAGAGCACAAGCTGTCAGGAAATGCCCTATTAATGCACTGGAGATAGAATCAGGCTGGAAAACTCCAGGCTGGACTGTAACAGCACACAGCCTGTGATTTAAAATCCATGTGTTCAGCAGGCCAGAAGCCAGGAGCCCCAGGCTCTAATCCCAGTGCTGAGTTCCATAACAGAACTTCAGGAAGTGGGGGAGAGGCTTTGTTTGAATTTCCCCATGTTTTCCTGGCCAGGATCCTTTTACCATAGACATTAAAAGTTTAAGAATTGCTTGGTTTCTTGGGGCTTGCAGTTGGTGGAAGATGTGTCCATTTCCCCAGAAGCCATCAGCAGCATGCACCAGAAAAAGGGGCTGGGTTGGTTTTGGTGGTTTGTTCTGGTATTTTTTCCCCTGCTGTGACTAAGAAAAGCTTTTGCTCACCAAGAAGGCATTCTTTAGAGGAGTGCCTGTCCCTCATTAGAGCATAAAAGCAGTTCATAGGTCTTTTGGGGCTGGCAGTAGTAAGACCTTCGAACACACTAAGCAAGCTGATCTCTAACTGAACTAAGGATTAGGTTTCAAACTGCACTACATTTCTGATTGGATGCAGACTCAGCAGCTGGGCTATTTTTGGCTCGTGAACCACTCTAATGGCTGTTTATTTTTAAGGTCATTTTCTGTTTGCATAGCATGTACACTCTTCTGGTGGGTGGGAGGCATTGTAAAAACAATCACTGCTGTGCAGAGTTAGGAACTAAGTCTGGAGAGGGATGGAAAAAACAGAACTCAGTGTACTTACTGCTTTAAAGCCCAAAAACATCTGCTTAGGTCATAAGGTTTGCTGGCCCACTCTGAGCTGTGTCCCCACCGGAAAAAGACTGTTCCAGTTAATACAGACTACTGCAGGGATTGCAGGAGACTTGGGGAAAGCCTGTCAGACAACAACAGGGTATAAATAGAAAGGAAGCACCAGATTTGATACCCTTACCTTCAAGGAGTAAATAGAAACCAGAACAGTCTCCTCACAGCTGAGGAGTGTGCTGGGCTGGCCAGGCCTGGATCCCAGCTCTTGTTAAGACCCTTGTTCAATAATAACATCCTTTATTGTCCTCTTTTCCTGGCTCCTTCCTGTTGGCAGTATCTTTATTCACACACAGTCAAGTGATACAAATTCACTGGAACAGTAGCAGTTTATAACAGAGAGTAAGAATAATTATCTTGAACTGAAATTTAAAAAAAACACATGGCCACCACCTGTCAAGCAATGCTCTGCTTGTGACAGGTCATGGTAAGGAAACATTTGACAACATTGGCAGCCATGTTGCTTTTCCAGACCACAAAATACACAATTCAAAAATATACTAAAAGTAATAATGGAGTTTGTAGAAATGCCTGCTGCAAAACAATTGCTGTTGTCTGATTTCCTCTATATTTACTCCCTTGCTATATTATGATAGAATACTTGAATAAACACAGTTTATTTCTAACTGAATTTGAACTTTAAAGTTGATCTCAAGTAAACTGTAAAGTCTTTGGCTCCCATCCTTGAAGTACATAAAGGACCTTAACTTTGGACTTGTGAGACTGATAAGGCAGGAGGTGAGCCCACAAGTGAGAATCTGATGCCTTGGGCAGCAGCCCAGGAGGGAAGGGGAAGTTGAAGTGCTGTACTTCACAGGATCTTAATTTGGGGCTTTTCCCTGGATTTTTACAGACTTTTAACAAGTCTTCCCTGGGCTCTCCTTTTACCTGATAGGCTTGAGATTTCAAGTTTCTAGTAATCTGGTATAACTGCCTGTGTTTGAGATCTGGGCTCTGCACTCAGTTGAGTGAACTGCAGTCCCTCTCTCCCTCCATATTTCACTGCTCAGGGTCATTTTCCTGTCCCTTTCCCCTCCCCTCCCTCCTCCTGGCCCGGTACCACTGGCATGGCCTCTTTCCATGTGAGAGAGCTGGATGCTCCATGCTTTGCTGAGGCTCACACTGAGCCCCACACAAGCTCCCTGCATTCCAAGTACCATTCTCTGAGTGCTTCCAACCTTGAGAAGGCAGGGAATCCAGTGCTGGCTGTACTGTGCAGGGATGAGCAGCTATTCCCTCGGGCTGGCATGCTTGCAGTGAGAATCTCAGAATGCTCATGGAAAGGGACATCCAGAGTAGCCCTTACTGTGACAGAGGAACACACAGTGAGTAGGCCAATGTGTTCAACTCTGGGATTTCATGCTCCTTTTCCTCCCAAGAGCCAATCTCAAAGCATTTCAAACAAGAGATGTTTTAGCAGAGAGGAAGAATAAGGCACTGAAGGTGAGCTCATTTGGCCAAGACTGATCCACAGGGTGCTGCCCCAGTCCTCAGTGCTCTTCACTGAGCTGTTCTCTCTGTGCTCACATCATATGAGACGTTCTCAGAGGGGAAACCTTGTCTCAGCTCTGACAGCACACACAGGGGCCAGGACCCACCTTCCCAGGCACGGCCTTCAGAGAAACCATTGAGAAGGACACGCACGGGAGGCCAGAAGGTGGCTTCCCAGTGTATAAACATCACCAGCTCCCAGGGAGGTCAGCTGTGGAAAGATGACCAGGACACCTGTGAGGTATAAAACTCTGTGTCAGCTGGCCACTGCTCAGCTTTCTCATCGTCAGACTTGTCGCTGTCATCGCCGCTGGAGGGCTCGTAGCCCTGCATGGCAGAGGGGATGGGCTCCGTCTGCCTCCGATCCGCCTCTGCCTCCTTCTTCTTCTCTGCCAGCAGCTGCCTGTAGCACAGGTTGCAGACCCTCAGGGGCTTGGGGGACAGCCTGGGCATCAGGAACCTCTGCCTGGAGCAGTCGGCGCACACCACGAAGCCGCACTTGCGGCAGTGGTGCCTGCGGGTGAGCGTGGAGAACTTGGTGTGCGTGCAGCGCATGCAGATGTCCGTGGCCTTGTCGGGGATCCAGGGCGCCGCGGGCTCCCTGCAGGGCTGCCGGCCCGTCTTGCTCAGCAGGTGCTTGATGCACTCCTCCAGGTGGCTGATCCACTCCTTCCTCTCCGTCAGGGAGGCCGCAGAAACCACAAAGGACTTCTTGGAGGTTTTGATCATCCAGCGGTTCTTCATCTGCAGGGTGTCTGGCAGCGTCTCCAAAGTGACATCTTCAAGGGGGATGATGTGCTGGGAGTTGTACTTCCTTTTGTTGATGATGATGCTGCCGTAGACCAGGATGTCGTTGAAAAGGAAAAAGATGCGAGGCTTTGGCTTCTTGCGGCATTCCTTGGTTAAAATCCCTTCTCCCAGGAGCACCCTGCCCGGCAAGGCCAAGGGCTGCCCGGAAGCCCCAAAGCAGCTCTCCACAGCAGCGATGCGCTGGCTGTTGATCTCCGTGTTTGCAAGGTGGTCCATCATGTCCAGCTCCCTCTGCACAGAGGAAAACAGAGAGGGAAGAGGTGAAACTGCAGACATCTGCACCAGGGTGGGGGTGAGTAGCCAGTGGATGCACAGGTGAGATGCTCCTGATGCAATCTGAGGCTACAGGTGATCTCCTGAGCATTCCTGGCTTTAGGCTGTTACCTTTCTAAATAAAATCTTCAAACTTTCTGACCTCATTTTGCAACAGCCCAGGTTGTACTGGGATGGTTCAATTTGCAGCAGTGGAAGCCACTGAAGGCAGAGCCAGGTCTTCCTCGTTGTGCTTTTTACCAGTCTCCCTGTGTGCCCTTAGAAAAGAAAGCTGCTTGATCTGAAACTGATGTTATGCAGATCCATAGATCTGCATAAAAGGGTCTTGAGAGCAAGGCTCCTGTTTCTGACTGCACATCTGCTTTCTCAAGGATTGCTTACAGACACACACCCCCCACAGCTCCATTTTGGGCCAGAGCTGAGGCAGGAGCAAAAGAAAACTCTGTGGTATCACCTCTTCCATGCATGATAAAAAGGGTAAAAAAAAGAAATTTAAAAAGCCCTCATGATGTGAATAAACTCACACAAGCTAAGCCTTTCCTCTCTTATCCCAGGACTGACAGTGCTTCCAAATGTGAGACACATCATTCTGAAAACAGTCAGCTCTGCTGAAGGGGAAGTGGAATGCAGCACACTCATCTGTCCCACACCTCTGCACCCTCCTTCTCACACAGTCTGGGGTTTGACATTGTGCTGTGCTTTGTTTTAGCAGGAAACCCAGGTAAGGGTAACCCTGAAGTGAAAGCAGCTGCTGGCTCTTGGCAGGCTGCAGTAGGGGAGGTGCCCCTTGTCAGTGGATTTTCTCCTTGCCCCTTGCAGGCTGGAGGGTGCTGCCCAAGGCCAGCTGGCCATGGCAATGTGAGTCATTTCCTCCTGCACAGAGGTAGCTCAGCCATCACAAGGCACAGCACAGGGCCATGTGCTGTTACCCTGGTTGTGCTGCTGGTTGATGGAAGCACTCATGCAGAGCTGCTCTCCACTGCTATCCCTGTGCTCCTTGCCCAGAGTCCCTGCTGCCAAGGAGGCTGGAGGGAAGAGGAGGATGACAACATGCCTGGTCCTATGTGTGTGGGACATTCTACCCTTGCTCCTCACCCCCAGCCACCCCTTTGCTGTGCTGGAAGGGAAACCACAGAGCTGCTGCACACCATGCACCTCTCAGCTGATCCATCTGGCAGACAGACTGGGCAATTCCTCTGAGTTCCCAGAATTTCCTGCTCTAGGGTAAAAAGGCACAAGGTTTAGCCATGGTCAGCCAATGGAGTGACCCAGCCTGCAGGAACAGCTTTCACTGAGTGGCACTGAGTGCTCCTGAAGAGCTGCTGCCTGCCTCGGCATCCCCCTCAAGCTGGAGGGGGGATGTGAATCCTCAGGGTCTCAAAGCCCTGGAGTGCACTGGATGGGGCTGGGCACATCCACCCGTGGGTGGGCACTTCACATTCACTGAGTGCTCTGGCCAGGCTGCAGCCAGAGGGGGCATCCAGGGGCTGCCTGCAGCAGCAGGGGCTGCCAGCACTCCCCAGCCAGCCTGCCATGGCAAACGTGCAGCAGCTGGGCCAAGGCTCTGTGCCTTGTCATCAGAGAGGAGAGAGCCTCCATTCCCAGCGTGGCTCCATCAGCCTGAGTGCATCTGTCAGGGAGAGCAGATGTCCTGCTGCAGTAAGCACCAGGTGTTTTTACCCTCTCCCTCTCAAATACACAAATGAGGCTGAAGAACACACAGGCAGGGCAAACTGTTGTCCACAAACTCCCTGACTAGGGTTATCCAGACTCCCACCTATCCTGGGATCCACAAATCCCTGGATGAGGAGTTTCTGTGTGAAGGAGCAAGATGAGCACACAAATAATAAAGGAAAATCTCAAATTACAGCTTGGGATCCTTGGTGTGCAAAGACTGTGAATGCAATAATATACTGTCAAGAGCTTTGGGCACCAGCCACACCAAATGGGATAAACCAAAGCAGTCCCACCAGTTTCCTTCCCTTGTGCTGCTGGGTTATGGAGCTCTTAGCCTACCTCTTTCATTTTATGTAGTTTAGAAGCATGGCCCAACCTCACAAGAACTTATGGTACTTGACATGAGTGTTTCTAGGGATCTCTACACACCAGATTCCAGTGGAAACTAAAATATTTTGTCAGATATAGAGACCTTGCCTGCACAGAGCCAGGAAACCCGAGCTCCTTTCCAAAGAGGAGTGTAAGCCCTGCTGCTGTGAAAGCTTTAGCTGATGCACTGACCTGGTCCCTGCACAGAAAGCTCTTGGACTTACTGCATGGAGCAAAAGGAGAAGGGGCTGGACACAATCCTGTAGTGTGAAAAAACCAGAGGTGAGCTCTCATTACACGTCAGACTTCGACCTGCAGGTATGTCCTTACTCCTCCACCCTCTGGTTTGCTCCCTAGTTAAAATACCACAAGTTAACCTAAGAAAAGACAACTCTGTTGTGGGAAAATCTTCTCTGCTAAGACTAAAATTGTTGGCTGCTCTAGCCCAGGGTACTTCTTGAAGGAGTTTTTGTGGGATGCAAAAGCAGAATGTTTTCCTCCCATCTCTCTCCCCCCTCAGGCAGAAGTGACTGGAGAACAGCACATACACATAATAAAAAGTAAAAAAAATTAAAAATTGTAGGAGTGGGACTTACAGTGCCTACCTTTAGGCTTGGACAACTCACTCTGTGTTATCCCTGTTCGGGTAGGGGGGCAGAAACAGCCATCTGGGGTCTGACTCATCACATCCCACCACAAGCCAGATCCATCCTGCCCCGAGTTCAACATAGTGCTCGGCTTGACCAACCACATAAAACCCAATTTCATGTTAACACTGTGACTCACTGCAAATAATCCACAGTTTGGTTTTGGAATGCAAGCACTTTGTGAATCTGGTAAATAAAGATAGCTGCTGAGTGTTACTATGGTCTCCTTTCCTGGGAGATGAGAGCCTCTCTCTTTGGAACAAAGAGAGGGTATGAAGTCTAATCTATTTTATTCATTTTGGTAAATGTTTTTTTTTTTTTTCCTGTTTGCTAAAGTTTGCTGTGTCAGGTCAGCATGGTCACAGTGCTTATTAGCAAAGGCTACATGTGCCCATGTACCACATGCAGCAGCAGCAGCTTACCCAGCTGAAATTAAGGTGGCAAGATGTGTTTGTCTGACATGCTGCTTTTCACAGAAGTTTCTGTGAAAATTCTGAGGTTGTTTTTTTCATGAAGATCTGCTGGATCTGCATGTGATCAAATACTATGCAGTGAATATGACTGATGTTCAAAGGGAAAAAACCAGCTTGGCACTCCCCTCCAGAAGTAAGCACGCCACAACACTTAACAATGCGGGCTTGTTCACTTGTGATTATAAACAGCCATGTTGATGCCTGCCAGGCACAGCATTTCAGCTGCAGCTCACGGGTCAGCAAGTCTGGGGTATGTTTTTCAAGTCTGTATGTACCTAAGGCTTAGGTGTACTGATGCAGAGAGCTGTTCCACCTGATCCTTCCATTCCTGCCATCAGGCAGAACTGACAGCCCTGGTATCCACTGCATACCTCATGCATACCACACATGGGATGGTCCATGACACCCAGATCTCACTGCTGAGGGCTGCCAGCAGAAAATGCTCCGAGCCTCATCTCTCTGCAGCTTTCCTGACTCCCTCTTTCTGCTTTGCTCTGAGAAATCTCTCCTGGAGTTAGGGCTGGCATAAACTCTTGCTCACCAAGGACAGCAAGTAGGATGCAGCTGCCCGAGCAGGCATTTAGAGCAAGAAGAACAAAGTTCCTCTCCTTTTCCTGCCTGAGGGCATTTCAGCTTGCTTCTCCCTCTTTCCCGGCACGCTGTAACTGCTGGGGTAAGGAGGGCAGGCTCTGGTAAGCTCCCTCCTGCCATGCTTATGTGGAATCCAATTCAGCACATGTACATTTTGGGGCTGGCTGTCACAGGGGGCCTTTAGGAATGTGACAGTCCCGGTGGGACAGGGACTGACTGAGCTGCCAAGCTTCTCGCCACTGCTGCTCAGCGCAGGGCCAGAGCAAGGGGCCGGCCGGGCAGGGCATGAGGAGCTCAGGCTGATGCTGCCGAACCCCGCCGTTGGCAGCCTGAGCTCAGCTGCGGCTCTTGCAAGTGCCAGCCAGGCTCAGAGGCGCCCAAGCAGCGGAAGAAGGGAAGGAAGGGAGGGAGGAAGGGGGAAAACCACGAAACTCAAGGCAGAGCCTTACCCCGTCCGTGCCCCCGTCCCCGCACTCATCCCGAGGCTCTCCGGCCGCACCTCCCGCTCTCCGGACTCGGGACCAAGGACACACACGGGCTGGCTGCCGAGGGACCGCCAGGGGAGCGACAACTGTCCCTCGCTGTCCTTCGCACGCCCGGGAGCTCAGGGCCCCTCAGGGACAGCCGCAGGGCCCAAGCGGGGTCCCGCTTACAGTAAGCTCCGCAGCGGGACAGCGTCCGGGTTTGGGTACACGGGCAAAGTTGGGACTTAAGGAGTCCCTCTAAAACCCCAGCACACCCGCTCCTCTAAAATCCCAGCACGCCCTCCCTTCTAGAAACCCCAACTCGCTCTCCCTTCTAAAAACCTCAGCACACCCTCCCCTCTTAAAAACCCCAACACACCCGCCCCTCTGGAGCGGCGTTCGGACCGCAGGTTCCGCACACGCGTGACGGGACCCCCGGGACGGGCAGGACCCACCGCGGGACCCCGGGCCGAACCCGGCAGCGCACACGGCCCCCTCACCCCGCCGCCCTGTCCCACGGCGGGCGGAGCGGAGCCGCCAGACCGCTCCTGTCCCCCGCTCCGGCCCGGCAGCGGAAAAGCCCTGGCTCTCCCCTCCGTCCCGCACCGAACCCCCGGCTCTCCCCGCCGCCCCGCGCCGCCCCGAACCGAACCCCGCTCGGCCCGTACCTGCCGGCCGGCCCCGGCAGCGCTCCCGCGGGCCGCGCGGGCGGCTCCGCTCCGCTCCAGGGCCGGGCCCCGCTGCCGCTCCCCGCCCACCGCCACCGCCGCCAATGGGCACCCCGGGGCCGGGCGGGGCTGGGACTGCCCCACAGGGGCGTGAGGGAGACTGCCTGTGCCCCGTGGCCGTGTGTGTGTGCCCCACGGCCGTCTGTGCCCCACGGGTGCGTGAGTGGGACTGCCTGTGCCCCACAGCTGTGTGTGCCCCATGCCTGTGTGCCCTGCTGCCATCCAGCACCCTCCTGCATACTCCCCTCTTGGCCCCACAAGCACAACTCAGTGTATTTAGTTTGCTGGCAGTTTTAAGTTTCCAGTTTCATCACCCCCTAATCACCGTATATTCCATCCAGCAGAAAGGTACGCATGGATAGCATTGTATAAAGATTGTTTCAGTGATAAAGTACCCCCGGTGTTTTACAGTTAAGAAGAGGGATATAAATAGAACTACACATTACACTGGTCCAAAACAGAAACCAGACCTGCTCCCAGGCCTTGGATCACAGCTTTTGTGGTTAGAGCTACAGACGTTTGTATAGAGAGCAAGCTATTAACACCGAAATTGGCGTTGCAGGGAATCCTTTTGCATTCCTGTCTCCCCACATGACAGTGCCAGCAGGGTGGTGGGCAGAGGCTGTGGGTGCCCTCAGCACTGCTGAAGGTGCCCAGGGCACCCGAGCTCTGGCCCTTGCCCGGTGCAGTCGCACAACCCCAGGCCTGTGCTGATCTATAATTCAGGTGCTTGCTCACTTTCTGTAATAGCTTTTCTATTTTTAATGGGAAGTGATGGACCTGTCAAGGTATTAGAAATATTTTTTTTCCCAGGTTTTCATTTTCTTTGGTAATAATAACATGGGCTGGGAAGCTCACGGTGCACTTTAGAGCTAAAGTGCTTGGCAATCGTGGGAGTTTCCACAAGACCTTATTTCTTTACACTTTGTGTTTGTGTCAGACGAGCAGATAAATGAGGACACAGACGAAGTTCAGTGGCTAGCAGTGTATGAGGGGGGATTGCAGAGAGAGCCATCAGGTCACTGACAAACCCCTGAAAACCTGGGAGAAAGCTCAGCACAGAGGGGAGGCTGCTGGGCTGCACAGATTCAGGTTATCACTACATATATAGTGAGATATATATATATACACATATATACATATATATATATATATATACACACAGAGCTATAGCTCAGGGTTTTACTGTGGGACTTTTCAGTCCCCCTCCCTTTTCTGTGGGACTGAATGGTCTGTCAGTGCAAGGAGCATGGTCTGCCTTTGCAGACTGGTTCTCACACCTGGGAGCTGGTTTATGTGGAGCTGCTAACGCTGAGGAGATCTGCCCAGCTGAAAAATTAATTCTTTACAGAATGCTGGGGGTTTTTAAACAAGGTCTAACTGTAAATATCTGTAAACTATAAATAGACAAAGCACTGAACTAAATATGCCAGAGTTTGTCTTAGCTGTCAGACTAATTCAGATCTAACCAGCCACAGATTATTACTCTGAAACTTGTTTTTTCCCTCCTGTATGCTAAAATTATTCAGAATTTGCTCTCATGCTAATCATAGTCTTTATTACTGAGATGCAATACTTTAATTTATTTTTCTTGTTGTTTCCCAGTATGCTCACCTGGACAACACATCAGCCAAACACAGCATTGGGCTGGCCAAACCACCTGGGATTTGAAGGTTTTTTTTGTTCCTCTTCAGTCAGAAGTGGAGGTGTGCTCAGGCAAGTGTTGCACGAGGCAAGGGAAGCCCCAAGATCCACTTTGTGCTTACAGTCAGTGTTAAGCAGTTGCAATTGAGAGCTGACTTTCTGTTGGTATTTTGTTTGTTTGTTTTGGAAGCTCTTACACACTTGCTTGAATTCCTTACTGATACAAACTGGGAGTTTCACCAGTAATCTTAAGAGTTATTTGAGAGGCAGGCTCAGGAGCTCTGTTGTTCCTGGCTGTAAACCCAAACATTTGTGGGAGTACTTGAAAAAGCTGCAGCCCAAATTACCAGCTTTTAAAGCAACTAGAGCAAGGTGAAGAGACTTTATCTGATTGCCTCTGGCATTTTCTCCAAAGCCACTTGTTTCTCAGTAGCTGAAATATCTTGCCCAATTGGGATGCAATAATTTCAAAGCAAGTAAAGGAAACTACAGCTGCTCAGCTGAGTCAGCCAAAGGTAAGCTCTGCAGGGGAGAAAATGTTTTTTTATTATCTTCTAGTGGCAAAATTACTACAACAGCCTGCAGGAAAAGATTAGATTATAATAGTAACAAAAACATCTGTTAAATTCTCAGCTCAGTGTATGTTTAGTGCATGTTTGGAAAAGAAGGAAAAACAACCCAGGCATTTGATAAAATTCTTTTGAATAAAACTCAATATTTAGATTCAGTTTGGGATGTTAGGAACCCACTGTGATCATAGAATAGAGTGATTTTAAGTAATTGACTACATGGGGCATTTAATCAGTGGACAAGACAGCCTTTAGCAATGGAGATTTTACTGAATTGAGCTTGGCATACTGTGACCTAATGAAGGAGTAAGACAACTTGTGTTCATCACCCAGGTTACCTGTAGGGATGAGTGACCTCTGTCCTGAGTGAGAGTGTGGGGGATGAATGTTTGTCTGATCTGGCTCCTGGGGGTTCAGCTAATCAGCCTCTTCAGAAATGTGTGACTTGCCATGATTGATTTGTGTCTCTGAAGCCCTACCAGCTTCATCTGCCTGCTTCAGAAATGCCTGCTTCCAAGTCAGGCAGTGCAGAAGTCACATCCGTGCTCAGCTCTGTCAGTACAGGCTGGAATTCAGGTGCCGGTTCCCCAATTCTCCCTGGTCCTCACGCCTTGAGGCTGCTGCCCAGCAAACCTGTTTGAGAGACTGCTTGTGCCTCAGGGCATCTCTCAACCCTGGTGCAGGAAATTACCCATTTCTTTAGAGACTCTGGTAGCCTGACTGCAAAATCATTGCCCAAGTGATGAAAGTATTCCTGAAAGCAACCTTTGCTTGCTGCTCTGCCCTTTGCATAAAGCAATGCTCAATCAAAGTGCTTTTGTTTTTTACAGAGGCGTTGCTCTGCCTTGCGTGTGTGCAGCACTTTATCCTCAGGATCTTGAAGGGCAGCATAAATTCTAATAACTGTGAGGGTTTGTCCCCTCCTCACAGGGAGTTCCACTCTTGGAGAGTTTCATTTGGTCACAGGGTGCTTGGTCACTGACACAGAGCAGTGGGTGATTTGCTGTTGCCTTCAGCAGCAGCAGGCTCTGGCTCAGAGTGAATCACCCAGGGACTGAGGAGCATCCCCCAGAGCTCCTGACTCACGCCCCGTGTGCCTCACCACAGGCCATGTCCCAGCTCACCAATCCCAGTGACCCACACAAAAGTTCTTTGTGCAAGGACCAAGGACGACAAAACCTCTCACATTTGCTGATTCTAAAGTTACAAGTTTGTCTTGGTGCTTGCTGCACCCTTCCCTGCTCAGACCTCAGCCCTGCTCCCTACTCCATGACTGCAGTGCTGTAGAGTTGGAACTTCAATAATGATCAGTAATTTCTGAATAGATCAAGTGGGTTGGTCATGAGTCTCCAGGGTGCACCCAAGAACTGCCCAGTGCAGGGACTCACAAGAGGGGAAGCTCAGAAGTCTGAGCTCTCCTGAGGAGCAGGAGGGGTGAGCACACACTAAGGAACAAGCAGGAGCCCTGACATGCTGCAGCCCCTGCTCTGAGCAGTGTTCCCCATAGTGGGAACAGACTGGAGTTGAAGTACAAAAGGTGAAGGTGAGGAAGAGCTGAGGTAAGGGAATATAAAATGTCAGGACTGTGAGAAGGTGCAGGTAATTCAGTGCAGAGAGGGATGTAATATTAGGACAAAATGCATGAAATTAATGTGGGAAAAAAGAGGTGTGTCCAGAAAAGTTCCTGAATGCATTTTTCAGCATGCTGTGAGAGAGTGTTGCACCTTGTGAGCCCAGCCTTCCTTCCAGAAGGGACCATTCTGGGCATGTTCTTCTGAGCCCTTTTCCTACTGCTGCTGTTCTGTCTGAACAGTGATCTCATATTCAGTGTGCCTTTATTGCACAAGATAAATCATGGTGAACAAATAACTGGTGAACAAGTGTTTCAAAGACTAAACTGAGGTAGATTAGCCATTTCAAATATTGAAATAGGGAAAAAGCATGGGGAACAGAGTGTGATAATCACTGGTTAATGCAAAAAGATGTAAATGACTGATTGACTGATTAGTGAAAGACAAATAAAAGAGTGACATTCCTGAACCCTGCTTTGCCTAAGGATATAGCTTCTATTTATGTGAAGAACATGCTTTGCTCTCTTTCCTTTGTAACTGCTACCCAGGCTGAATGTGTGCATTGCTCAGGAAGGGAAAAACTTCTCTCTGTAAGGGACCTTGCCCCACATCAGTGTCTTTTGTGCAGGAAGGCATCTGCTGCCATTGCATGGGGAAGGTTCATGCACTGAGTGCATGTGCAGAGAGCTCTGTGAAGGGGGAACGAAAAGGGAAATCTTTGTTTCCTTTTGTTATCTTCAAATACAAGAGAACACAGCCATGTGGTGTGGTTTTTTTCCAAGGTGTTTTGCTGACATCCTGGAAACCAAGAGAGCAAACCTCAGCTTGGCTGAGATCCCCATCCATTGACATGCTGGATCTTTAGGTGCAGAGGTGCTGATCTGAACGAGGAATTGGGGATTTCTCCTGAGGTAGAAGAGGTTTATTGGCTTTTAGAGATTGTGCTGCTGCCTGGGCGGTGCAGGATGTATGAGATGTGACACAGAGGATGTATGAAGGATCACACCTTAATTTGTGAAGTGTAAAAATTGGTGTCTGGTTGAGAAACTAGAGGGATGTTGTATAATAGGAGGTTTGTGGTTGCTCTTGGGGGGCATCTGAAGGAGGAGCTGAGAATTCTGCTCTGTACTTCAGCTCCAGCTCTGCAAAAATTGTCCATGTCCAGGTGGTACCATTC